CGCCTTCCACTCCCCATAGGATGGAACTTTCCCTCCAAACCCATGACAGACAGGTAACATCAGTGCTGTATGTAACAGGGGGAACTGCCCATTGAATCAAGGAGAATTCTTTCTACACAGCATTTTCAATATTCAATCATACATACCGTGTTGTCATTTGTCTTTGGCTCCTGCCAACCTAGCAGTTCGAAAGCATGTAAAAATGGGAGTAGATAAATACGTACCACCACGGTGGGAAGGTAATGGCATTTTGTGTTTAGTTGCGCTGGCCAGGTGACCACGGAAACTGTCTATTAAAACAAACCACTGAAGCTTCATCACAAATATTTTTGTATTGCAGTAGTTATATATTTGCTTCAATATGTGTTCGTATATTTTCCAGATAGCTGTCAACTCAAGAAATGCATGGCCTACTATTAGAAAATATGGATTTTTAATTGAGGATACTGGCTTCATGTATGTGATTGAAACCCCAACAAGTGTTAGAATACAGTGGTTTCACTCCACTGGAGTGATGGTAGTAGATCTTAATGGAACCAGCTATCCAAAGCCAGTGGGACTTTGTGGTAAGCAAATGCCAGCAAGACTGTGATGATATGTTTGCTAAAGGGGGGGGGGGAATGGCCTACATTTGCTTGTTGTTAAAGTTAAGGCATGCACACTAAGAATATACAGTATAGTAATCCCAATCCAAAATGATATATAATGAAAATTATTTAAAATTTGTGTGTCTGTTTGCCAGAGCTGTAGCTCCAATAATACAAATGCTAACACTGTTCATTTGGGTATGTGATTTGTAAATGGGATTAAATAGTCTTAGCTGGTTTAAATGAGTTGATGTGTTTTAAGATCTGCAGTATCATCAGCAGTCTACAGTCACTACGTGACAGACTCACCCAATCAGTGCATAGTTTTGTGGTTGATTTGGTTGGAAGCCACAATCAGAGTCAATAGAATTCTAGATTTCATCCTTTCATATTCTGTGGGTCAGCCCCCACATGAAAATAAAACAGGCATGATTCTCCATCAACAGGCTGTAAGTGTGTGCCATGATAAAGGCTATGTCTAGAGGTATCAGGAGTGCTGGCTTTGCTCATATGGGATGGGCACGGCGCATCTAACTCTGAAAGGTGAATAACTTTGCTTCAGGACTAGCCAGATGCTTGTGAGAAAACACAATTCGACCTGTTGTGCAGAAACCCTCCTCAAAAGATGCCAGAAAGTGTGTGTGGCAGTAGTAGAGGTGATGGTTTTATTCACAGAGAATGACTTTGCCTGAAAGGTTGGGTGTACAAAAGTGAAGGTTAGAGAGAAGATTCACTGGAAAAAAATTAATCCTTTCATATCAGGAACCCAATGGTGCAACAAAATGGGGGATCCAGATAGCTCCCTGCTGTGAGAAGCCAACCTCTCTAATGTTCAAGTAAATCACTGCAAGTGTTCCATGTATCCAACTAAATATCAAAGGGCAATTACAGGTATTTTTACTTGTGATACAATAACTGTTCCTGAATGTGCTACTGTTAGAAATTGTTGAAGTGATGCAGATGACTCAGGGACAAAAGAAAAATGCTAAATTTGTCAGCCAAATGATTGCAATCCAAATTTAATCCCTCTGAGATCATATTGCAGATAGCTGTAGATGAGTGAAGATTTGCTTCCAGATTTAGAGCATTTGAAGGAGAGGCATGAATGCTGAAGTAATGGGAAAATAAATAGGATAGGAATAAGCAGAAAATGTACCGTACATTAAGCCTTCCATAAAGTCAAATGGGAGCTAACATGGAGCCCAGTAAAAATAATACGTAACTGTTAATCACTTTTAATCATGACTGGACTGTTAGTTTGATGACACAGCCCTCCCCTATTCTGCACCCTGGCCCCCACCCACCCTTGGCAGAGAATAGAATGCAGATTTGAATGTAAATTGATAGGAGGAAATTTGAGGGTGTACTTTTTTAAATTGCGATGGTTTCTTTCCCAAATTTTTCTAGTTCAGTATTTATGGCCTTGTTTCTGGAATTTGGTGAAGTAAAATCTGCTTTGGAGTCAAATTCTGGACAAATATTGTCTTTTCAGAGGGAAAATTAAATTGCTAAGAGTTCTGAAAGAGTACACATTTCCTTCAAAATTAAACTGGAGCAAAACCAAGCAGACATTAAATTCAATTGGCAGTCCCAACTAAGGTAGATCTATTGAATTAGTTTCTAAATATTAAATCAACATTTATGTAAATCTAATTGTTTCAGTGGGTTTACTGTCCTTTTTGTCCTAAATCAGTAGTAGAGCAGAATTGTATCAATTTGCTCAACCCATAGAGTTTTTCTCTCACTAGGCATATTTGAAATAGAGAAATTGCTATGACTGTTGCTGGGTTTCAAAGTATATTTTAGGTGGAATTTGCCTACAACTCAATTTCCCATTCTTAGGCTGGGAGCTTTATAAACAAAAAGGATCATTTCCTACACTTCCCAACCAGGCAGGTAATTACTGTAAAGTGACATAAGCTCTAATGTTAGGCATTCTTCAGTCTTGGGAGACTATGGTAATGTGCTCTGTATGGAGGACTTGGAACAGCGTCTAGTGTAGCTGAGGAGGCCAATTCGAGAGTGACAATCCCTTCTGCACTGAAGACAAATACAATCTGTCCCCTGTCCAGCTCCCTGATTTTACTGGTTTCAGGACAGCCTCTTTGCCTCAGCCTGCTGGACAAGTGTCTCTTCAAAATGGGGGAGGCCATGATGCACTGCCTGCCTCCAGGCTGAATGCTCAGATGTCAAGGTTTCCCATCTGTTGAGGACCATTCCTAAGGCCTTCAGATCCCACTTGCAGATATACTTGTATCGTAGCTGTGGTCTCCCTCTGGGGTGATTTCCCTGCACTAATTCTTCATACAGGAGATCTTTTGGAATCCAACCATCAGCCATTCTCATGACATGCCCAAGCCAATGTAGATGTCACTGTTTCAGTAATGTACATGCTAAAAATTCCAGCTCGTTCTAGGACTACTCTATTTGGAACTTTGTCCTGCCAGGTGATACCAAAAATGCGTTGGAGATAGCGCATATGGAAGGTGCACAAAGGGTCAAGGACTCACTGCAGTACAGGAGTGTGCTCAGGGCACAGGCCCTATAGACCTGGATCTTGGTATATGCCGTCAGCTTCTTATTAAGCCATACTCTCTTTGTGAGTCTAGGGAACATGGTATCTCCTTTGCCAATGTATTTATCCAGCTCAACATCTAGGGAGAGAGTGTCAGAGATCATTGAGCCAAGGTACACAAAGTAATGAACAATCTCCAATTCTTTTGTGGAGATGGTAGTAGAGGGAGGTGAGTCCACGTCCTGGCCCATGACTTGTGTTTTCTTCAGGCTGATTGTTAGTCCAAAGTCTTGGCAGGCCTTGCTAAAGTGATTCATTAGTTGTTGGAGGTCTTCAGCAGAGTAGGAAACAACAGCTGAATCATCAGCGAAGAGGAAGTCCTGCATGCATTTCAGCTGGACTTTGGTCTTGGCTCTCAATCTAGAGAGGTTAAAGAGCTCTCCATCTGATCTAGTCTGGAGATAGACACCTTCTGTTGCAGTTCCAAAGGCATGCGTCACATTACAGCAAAAAAGTTCTAAGAGTGGGTGCGAGGACACAGCCCTGTTTCACTCTGCTTCATTTGTCAAAGGGAACTGATGTTGAGCCATCAAAAACTACAGTGCCCTTCATTTCCTCATGAAAGGACCTGATGATGATAAGGAGTCAAGCTGGACATCAAGTCTTGGGAAGTATTTTGAAAAGGCCATCCCTGCTAACCAAACCAAAGGCCTTTGTTAGATCTATGAAGGCCACAAAGAGTGGCTGTTGTTGTTCCCTACATTTCTCCTGCCGCTGTCTGAGGGAAAATACCATGCCAGTGGTGGATCTAATAGTTCGAAATCCACACTGTGATTCTGGATAGACTCTGTCTGCAAGCACCTAGAGCCTCTTCATCACAACATGGGCAAGCAGCTTCCCTACAACGCTGAGAAGAGAGATGCCACGGTAGTTATTGCAGGTGCCCCTGTTACCTTTGTTCTTATACAATGTGACAATGTTTGCATCCTTCATGTCCTGTGGTACTCCACCTTCCTTCCAGCAAAGACTTCATACAGCTCAGTGGTGATGATCTCTTTACAGCACTTCAGCAGGGATGTTATCCTTCCCAGGTGCCTTGCCAGAGGCGAGGGAATCTAATGCCGCTTTTATTCCTGCTAAAGTTGGTTTGCTGTTCAACTCTTCCAAGACAGGCAGACACTCAATCTTATTTAGTGCCTCTTCAATTACTACATAAGCTTTAAGTCCCTACTCTAAATAGGTTAGTCTGGAGCAATGCCCCATAGTCACCATCTCAAGAGCAAGATGAGATTTCATGGTTTCTGTTAGTTGATATGATCGTTTCTTTCCAGAAAGTAGCGCTAGTCCTAGATGTGCATGAAGCAGTGTCAGAGTTAATGAGATACCTGTCTTTTTTGAAGAAGACATTAGGTTCCCTCTGCCAACTGAAAGTCTGGACCCCCCCCCCAAAAAAAATTGGCAGATTTCCTATTAATTCTTATTTGGACAGTCTTGTGCCAACCAAATTTCTTGTTACCTATATAGAATTTCCAGCCAGGGCAGAGTGAGACACACAGCTAAAAGACAAAGAAGAGGAAAGATTAATTTTCCCTTACTCACCATTGCCTGTTGTAATTCATTGAATGGAAACAGGCATTTATTCCCTTTTTTAAAACTTGGCCTCAGGAAGAAACTGCTGTCCATCCCTTATTTGAAGGGAGGACTTCTGTTACTAGTGAGTTGTCCATTCTACTGAACTACTCAGTGCCTATGAGTTGGCAGTACTATTAGGGGATTAAGTTTGGAGTCTTATGGAAACAAAACATGTGCACCATACCCAAGTTACTTTGACTCCCTTCTAAACATTCTTTGTGCAGAAAGCCCAGAAAGTTGACCTTCCCTGCTATAAAAATTTAAATACTGTTCACATCTTCACTGTTCACTTGTATTTATTCATTTTTTGGGGACTGACCGTTATTGATCTAAAATCAGTCTTTAAAAAAATAGATTAATAAAGGCTAAGGTGGAATTACTCTTAAGCCTGTCTGGTATGTACACGTGGCTTCTTTCTTTTTGGAACATGTAACCTTGGATGAGATGATAGGTATGTGGCTCTTGAAAGCATAATATCTGTTGACATAAATCTTCATTTTGACACTTGAATTATCGTTACTGGAAGGCTTGGTTGCAAAGCCCTTCATTTCAGAGTCTAGCTTGCCAAGTTTTGGAAAGGGCAAATGTGTGTAAGTACGGTGTATAATATCAGTGATACTTAGTCAGGTTTCAAGACTTGGAAACAGTAGTATTCCTAAAGAGGAAAGGTGGTTGAAGTAAAAGAATTACTTTGATTCTGAGTTGCTGTTTGTGACTTGTAGATTTTGAGATATGAACGAAGAAAACAGTGTTTCATTGGGCTCTGGATTACATTTATGCTGAAACTCTAACCGTACTTACATTACAAACAAAAACATACCAGTAAGCTGCACTGAATCAACAGCTTGGAAGTAATGAGTTACAAGAAATATAGTCACTTATAACTAGTAGCCTTGGGGTAATGAAGGTTGATCACATTACATTTTCAAAGTAATACAATGAGTACATATATACAAAGCTGCTTTTGAGGTGTAACGATTAATGGACTTTAGTGAGTATCATGAGTTACTAAGGGCATTTTGAGATACATGTTAACATGAACTGTTTAAGTTTTATATCATTTTCTTATCGGTTGTCAGTATCAGAACTGGAGATTAAAAGGAGGTAGAGCACATTTTCCTCTATGTTTGTGTTCATGGTATATACAGTACCTTGATGAATTACTTTTCCATATAGAGGAATGATAATGTTAACAGTGAACTGGCTGCTGCAAAATATTGAGAAATACATCTAGTTCCTTTTTAAAATAATATTACAAGCTGTGATTGAATTAGATGCCTGGTTTCCTTAGGCCACACTGAAAACAATGAGCATGTATGCATACTTATTTAAAGCTGTCTTGATTATATTTCAGAAATGTAGGACAGAGGTCAAGTTATGGAATGGTCTCCCTGATGAGGCTTGCTTAGCACCTGTTTTGGCATCTCTTTGACATCAGGCAAACTCCCCCCCATTTTTCCAGGGTTTAAAAGGTTTTAATGGTTTAACATTCTAATTTTATTTTAATTGATAGCAATACATTTTATACTATGGTTATACTAAGCTTCTAGCTCCATGTGATAGCCCTCATTGATCCTATAACTGCTGTGGAATCCTCAGCTGTGGGGATGGGCAATCTTGAGAAATCTGAGGGCTGCACGTAACTACCTCCAGACCTTTGTGGGCTACACCCAGTGCCACACCCCAACCCATTATTAATTTTTTTTTATTTTTTGGGAGCTTTTAAAAAAACTGAGAAGGACCCTCACACACTTTAACGTCAATTTATTTAAATGTCTAAAACTTTTTTGAGGGGGCAAGGGTGCTTAAGTCAGAACATAGCAAAACATCCTCTCATGTCACGTAGAAGTCTCAAGGGGACATTTTGTGTAAATGATGTGTGTGTGAGAGAGGGGGGGGGAGCATATCTGAGTTGTGGGGGTGCATGCATCCCATAGGATGCACATTGCCCACCCCTTCTCTACTCTGTTGAAGAATCTTCCATAGGTAGAAGAAACAAATGGGATGCAGAAATGTATTGTTCATTACAGAGACTAATTGGTGTTTCTATTTGTATTTATTCCTTCCGATGCTATAAAACAGAGTAGCTACCACATTGTCTCCTGGCACCTTGTAGAAGATCTTCACACACATATGTATGTTTAATGGAGATCTCTGTTAGTGGCTGGCATTTCTAGGGGAGACTCTTCCACATGAACTGAATGTGCTGACTCAGTACTGAATAGCAGTAATGTTAAATCATAATTTAGAAGCTATTTAAAAAAATCTGTCTGTGATCAACCAAAAGTGAATCCCAGTTATAATGCGCTATGAGAAATGGTACACAAAGGTCATGGTGGCTTCTCTCGTATTTTTTTCCAGGTTTCTGTGATGGAAACTCAACCAATGACCTCATGCTACCCAACATGACTGTTCTGAACACTGTGGGTTCTTCAGTTATCTTTACTGATACCTGGCAGGTGCCAAACACACTGAAGTATATTGGAAAACCAAGAACCTATGAAACTAACTGTTCAGTCATGGATTGTTCACCTTGTTTAAATATGTTGTTGAACCAAACATTCAGCAGCTGCCATCCTCATGTATGTTATCTTTTGATGCTCTGTTTGAATCATATTGATTGCTAATAGGAAAAAAAAAATCAGTGTTTTAGAATTGAACTGTCTTTGACAACGGGCTGGTTTTTACTTACAAACAACTTTGACCATTTTGCACTTGGGCAGGGTGGACTTTTTCTGTGTATTAAAATATGGTGCAGAATGTGTCCTAATCATGTCAAGAGTATAGGCACATTTTTCATGCATATAGGTGGGGGCCTAATACTGTATAAAGTTTAACAAAACATAGTTGTACTAAGGTGTGTAGTAACATTGCAAAGAGGATACAACCTCAACTGACCCCTCTGCAAATGCCGCTTGTTAGATCCATACCTAGTGGCATCTTGGAAGTGTTTTCCCCACAGCCATCAAATGCAGAGAGACTGTTCAGATCTCACTATATGGAACTGCAGCTCAAATTTGCATTTTGAGGCAGGGTGCTGTGTGGTCTTTGCACATTGAATATGTGGAAAAAGCTAAACGTTTTGTTTTAGAGTGTTTCTGAAGAAGTCTTGAATCAAAATATATTGGATCTTGTAAATTACATTATTTTGGACCTTGTGTCTCTCTGTACTTCATATTCCAATCTGTGCAACAGTCTGCTGCATTTTTTCTCTGCTCTGTTTTAGTGCTGTAACATTTTATTGTGATATGTAAATGAGATTTTAAATTGATAATTAATGGAGGGGGCATTGCTAATTATCTTGTGCCCTCTTTAATGGAAAGGCATAGTACTTTAATAAAAGAGAACTAATCATGCAATCTTAGTACTATTTTTCATGGTTTCAGTGAAAATTGAGACTTAAAGAAAGTTTCTTGCCTATGGCCAAAAAAACCCTGCATTGATACATTGGCAGACCCATTTTTGATGCACTGATACACATGAAATTATATCACATCTTGTTTTGCATCAAACTGTTAAAGTACAGCCTTTGTTCTGTGTAAGATAGGTTAGTATTGTTTCTTGTAGTGTTCTCCTAGTTATTATTCAATATATCAAATAATAACAGCTTTGTCTCTGTATTCAGGTTTCTCCAGATTCTTTTTGTGATTTGTGGGTCCAAGACACAGAATATATTCAGAATCCATGTATAGCACTGGCTGCTTACGTTGCCATGTGTAACAAATTTAATGTCTGCATAGAATGGAGGAGTTCCAGTTACTGCTGTAAGTACTTGGTTCAAGTACTTAGCCATTAATCATAAGGAAGGTATATTACTGCAGGCTGAAAAGGCAATGCAATATATGAGGCAGTGCTGACCTTGATCCCAAGTGATCTCAGTTCATGTTCATTCATTCATGTTCATTCACTATTCGAATAAAACATGATGATAAGATTTTGTTGTTGTTGTTGCCCCAGAGAACAGCTCTAGATCTTGTATTAATGTGCTTATATTAGACCAAGACAAGATTTTGGGTGACATTATGAGAAACAGTATGAGCAGTTTGATAACGGAACCCAACTGAACCCAGTGATGGTGGTTTTTCCTTGCTGGAAAGGTATTCAAGCAGAGGCTGAACAGTTATTTCTTGAATTTGCTCAGGCTCTAATTTTTGCCATGAAGTTGGTTTTGGGACTAAATGGCCTGTTCTGTATGTGTTTTTTTTTAAATGTATGGAATTAGATGGAAAAGAGGTCGAGGAAAAAAAATCCATGGGAAGAACGGAGAGAAGGCAAATATTAATCATGTCCTGGCTGCCTTTTCACTCAGAATTTCAAAAGACAGAGATTTTTACTTGAGTTCACATGCAGTATAAACTGATGCCCTGCCTTCATCAACAAGGATTACTGAGTTAAATACATTGTTTATTTTCTTGCAGCCTTTCCATGTCCAGATAGTTTCTCCTATAAGGCTTGTATATCGGCCTGTGATACTCCAAGTACTTGCCAGAGTGTGGACCCAGTACCTCAGGATACAGACTCTTGCTTAATAATGACAGAAGGGTGTGTGTGCACAGAAGGAACAATCCTCCACCGTCTTCATTCTGCTGTCTGCGTCCTAGAGGAGAAATGTGGTAAATATCAATCTGTGTTCTCTCTTTTTTTTGGCAGCCATGTGTCCTGATCTGATGCAAGATTTTTTCCCCTGTAACCCTATGTATTAATTTGTTGTTATGTTTTCCCTTTCTTTATAATCAATCACTAGTTGTTCGGATCCCATCTAGCACAGGCAACTTGTACACAAATAGAAAATGGTTTCTATGTATGTGAATCGCTTTTAGGATGTATCTTTCCATATGCAGAAGAATACAGTGTTGGGCCCTATAGTCAGAATCTGGGGAAGCCATGTGCAGTGCTTCTACAGTATCTCCACACTGAACAGATGGTTGGAGCTGCCAACTGTGGTGGTGGTGGGGAGAAATTAATTCCTTCATTCCCTTGGTAAGTGATAAACACAGTCAAAGATGATGGAGCCATATATCTGTACGGTGCAGAAGATCTGGTGAAACATTCCACATGCCACTTACTGCTGCCATCAGATATCTACCTTGGTCATAAGAGAGTCCTTCTTATGAATGATTGGATGCTATGGAAGTTTTGCATGTTGGCTGATATAAATGCTTTTTCTGCATCTCAGATTAACATTCCTGTGAACTGTATGGTGAAAGGTATAATTGTATGTATTCTAGCCATTACATTTCTTCTTATAATCAGGGATAACTTCCAGATACAAATATATCAGTTTGCTTATAGTATACAACTGGATCCTAAAAGACTTATGAGCTGAAAACCTCCTTCAAGAGTTTTGTGGTGTAGGGACAACCCTAAGATTGTAATGGGCAATTTTCAAATGGCCAAAGCCAGCAAGTGCTTCTCTTCAGACCTTAGACGGTTGATCCTGCTTCCTCTCCAAAAAATTTTTTAACAAGAAAAGGCCTCTCACAGCATCTGGAGAGTACAGAAGCAATTTAGTTAAGTATTTACCCTCCTGATCTGTTTCAGGTTTGTGGAGACTTTTTTTTCCAAAAAGAAGTATGAATTAGAGTCATTTCCTGTTTGAGGGTCTTATTTGTCCTGAAAGAAGCTGGGGTATATGTCTAAATGTTCTCAAGCAGTGTGATAAAGGGAGAGAGAGGGGGAGGGAGGGAGAGAGAGGGAGAGGGGGGGGAGAGAGGGGGAGACAGAGGGAGAGGGAGAAGGAGAGAGATAGCTAAGGTTCGCAGTATTGAGGGCCACACTCTGGATGACATTTTTGGCACTGTTCATTCAGATAAGACTCAGATATGTGCATACTTAAAGAGAATTGTAGGAATTATTCTGTATGTGAAAATCATGCAGTGAGAAACAAGTGTGAGTCACAAGAAGGGCTTGGGTAGTATCAATTTCCCGTTCCTTGACAGATTGCTTAGTTTATTCCATAATCCTCAGGTATTATCTGAAAAAAAAAAAACAGGTCACTTGTATGTTCAGCCAAAAAACAGTAACACTAGGAAAAGGTGAAGACAGCAGGAAAAGTGAAAGAGATGGATTGATTTCATAAGGAAAGTCACAGATTTTAGAAGATCTGATCGGAGCTGCTAAGGACAGGACATATTGGATGCCACTCATCCATACTGTTACCAGAAACTACTTGATGGCATATGGCAACAACAATTAATATTTGTATACTTACTATTTTAGCTTTAGAGACTTTTAGTAATGTAAGCCACCTTGGGTCCTTTTGGGGAGAAAGGTGGCAAACAAACAAACAAACAAACAAACAAACAAACAAACAAATAAATATTCAGCTAAAACAGACTCTGTCTCATAAACAGAAACCATTTCTTTAACCCCTTGAAAGGTAACTGGTTTGTGTAACTGATTGAAACTACTGCAGGTTGTACATATTCTAACCACCCTTTTGAAAGATTATGGCTACTGTTAATAACACAGTTGTCATTTTCTGTTCCTCATTCTGACCCATTCCGATAATCTGAACCAGTGTGCCTATAAACCTGTGACATGAATGTTGTTGCTTTGTGCATTGTGGGCTACGTTGACAAAAGCTCATGCCAAATAAAATATAATAGACTTAAAGATGCACGTAGTGTGACATCCCAGTTATAAGTCCCATAAAACATAGCAGATATTTTAAAATTGTTTGAAATGTAACCTCATTTTTGCAACAATTCAGCTTGTACAGACAGCTTTGGAGTGCCCCATGCAGTGGGCGAGACTTGGAAAACCTCCCCCAGTGGATGCTGCATGCACAAATGTGTTGACAACGAGACCATTGCTCCTGTGGAATACAACTGTTCAGTTAGTCATGACTTCGAATGCCAGCGCTTTGGGGAAGTGGCCCTTCTTGTTCCAGACAATCAGTCCTGTTGTCACCAGAAAATCTGTAGTAAGTGTCTTTACTTGCATATTTTGTAATTTTGTTTCATTATTTTAGAAACTAGGGAAGGTCAGGATTCACATTTGTGTTCCCAGATACCACTTCTGTATTTTAAAAACATGAAACCAAAAGCAAAATGACTTGGTTTAAACACTTCTATATGTTTTAATGTGGTTTACTGCCGTGTCACAGATTAGAATATTTTGACAAATAAAATATTGGTATAAAAGGCAAGGAAAGAGAGAGCCTCTGGATTCTGGAGGAAGAACAATCTGAATGGTAATTAAGAACAATTAAAACAGTGTATCTGGAAGCTGAGGTAAACTAACACTTTTCATAATGGAATAACAGGGTAAGCTCGTATTAGAATTTTAATAGTGGCAATGCAATTTGAGATATAAAGAACTAAGTGATCTTTAGAGAGTTCAGAAAAGTTACTCTTCTGGACTACACATCCCAGAATCCCTCCATGAGCATGGTAAGTAGGCTAGTAAAACTATCTTTTGAAAGGTTTGGGAAAATGAAATAAAATAATTTTAAGCAATGTCTACCAATGTAATTAATGTATAACTACATTAAGTGATTCTTTTTCCATTTTTGCTTATTTGCCCATCCTTATATTTAAAAAGCTTGTAATCAGAGCCTGTGTAAAGCATCTGTTCCTGAATGCAAAGGTCTGGAAAAATTGGCAGCCTATTACCAGGATGATTCTTGCTGTCCTAATTATATTTGTGGTAAGTATTGAATGAAGACATCCAAGTGTCTGATGAATTTCCTTTAGAATATTTATACTTCAGTATAGCTGCACAAGGGTACAGTGATGATGCTGTGTGGTGTAGCAGATTAGCATTCTACAAGACAATTCTAAAATGGGGCAGGCTAAACAAAAAATATAACTTTGAAACTGGGTTTTAGATTGGCATCCAGTTTGTATAAAACACTCGTAGCAGAGGGTCTTCTCTTACTCTGTGCCAAATTAGTGAAAGTTTGGGTGAGGAGTACTTGAGGTATGATTTCTTAAAAATAAAATTTATTTACCTCCCCATTCTCAGTTTATTTACCCCCCCTTCATAAAGCTTCCCCAGATTTAAAGTTGTTCATATAAATTGGAAAGACCAGTGTTACTTATCTTGAAAGAGAATTGTTGGCCCCACCCACTTTTCTATGTTTGGAAAGAATCCAGGCTTTAGGCACTAAAATATTGGTCCTTGAAAAAGGCCTTTCAAATGGGAGAAACAGCAATTTCTTATGACAGCTTGCATCATTAAAATACAATATTAAAAGCTAAAAAATATTTAGTATACAAATACTAAAAAGGATCAAACAGATGCCACCATCTAAAGGCAGTAAACAAAAGTAGCACAAAACCACATTCAAAGCAGTAAGACACAAACCATCCATTTAAAATTTCCATTTTTCAAGTACATTCACAAAAAGGCTCAATTTTTTGCATCCACTACATGCAAGTCAGCACTAAACATGGGTACTAAGCACTACCACTACAGCTGCTTCCTTACCTTGCCTATCTCAGGGCCCACAAACCACATGCAGGAGAAGAGAGGCAATGATGTCGTAGTAGCTTGGGACATCCATTCAATGCACAAGGAAGGAATTAGAATTGCACATCATGGCAGCTGTTGAATAGGTCTGGTTTGCCAAAATCTTGTGAAGAATCTGAAGATTTTGCTGGTACCTCATGCCAGCTCTTCACAATCCTTAAAACTGAGTGCTAAATTTAGTCTGCCCCATATGCAGCTGCAACAGAGGAAGGAATTCTGAAAATAGGAAGCAGAATAAACCTTTTCTCAAGGAAGATTTTGGGCATATTCTGTCATCCTAGGCACATTTTTCATGACCTGGTGCTTGATCCATTTCTTCCAGAGTCAAGAAACTATAATGATGTTGTCTATAGGATCCAGCAGGTACAAAGGACAAATACTAGACTAGGGGTGTCTAACAATTTGGGACTTATAGGTACCTCTGAAAAATTGAAAAAAAAAACTGTTCTGGGTGCTATCACAAAATGGCTGCTCTGGCGTGTCATGAAAAGACTGAGTACAAGGCAGAAATTGTATGTGAACTCCCAACAAACACACACCAAATTCCTTTGAATTAATAGTTTTCTATACTGATAGAAATCTATTTCCCAGGTTCCAAACTCTGTTTCTGTCTTACATGCTTTCCATTTTTCTTTACTCCAGGGCTCCATCCTTCTAAATGTACTTCTCTTTCACTCCAAATCACTACACAAACATTTACTCTCACATTCCTGGTTCACCACGCATATGTACATCTGCAGTGCCCCTCTCACACACAACTGAAGATATATCCATACTTTCCCTAACATTTCCTTTATCATTGGAAGGACTTGGAAACCTATACTTATTTCGGATTTTTCTCACTCTTCAATCATTCCTAAACAACGCTCCTCCCTTCAATCTGTCAGATAGAAGCAATGGGGCTCCCATTTTTCCACTCCATCCTATTCTTGGTTGCTGTAGAAATTGATCTGTACAAGTTGTACATGTAGTTCTGGAGAGTGCTGCCAACTCCATCTCCTAAGACTGTTCCTGAGCACCACGTGTGCCTAAGGAAGTAAAAATGACAGTCGCTGGAGGTCTTCTTTTTTGCTTTGAAATAAACCCAGCTGCTGGGATACACATTTTTAGTTAAGGAAATAAAAATAGGTATGGGGGAATACTAAGATGCCTATGTGAATGTCATGAAAGCTGCTTAGCATGGAATTGATTGCCTGCCAATTTGTTGAACCCTTATTTTGCCCAACTGTTGTAGCAGCTTCAAGATAGATGCTTCAGTTCAAATATATTTTATTTTACATAAGCTGCATTGGGGAACTGTTGTCACCACCACCACCATTCTTTTTTCCCCCATTATTATTCACTGGATCTGTCCAGAATTTTGTATATTGTATGAGACCATGCAATGTGTGTTTCAGAATGTGATCCAGAAAAATGTGAGTCCATGGAGGAGATTCCAAACTGCCGAGCAGATCAAACCCTGATTGCTGCCCATGTAGAAGGCACATGCTGTGTATCCTATATCTGTGGTAGGTCAAATTCAGTTCTTACTGTCAATATACAGATTAGTATGGAAGCAAATAAGAACAACTTGGAGTAGATGTATATATGCTATAAGAGCAGCCTCTACTGCATTCAGTAATGCTTTATCCAATCCTCTGCATCATGCAATATAGCAGTAGGGACATTTTATAAGAAGAAACCACGCCAGTAGAGATCATGAGTTTACCAAGCATTCTTAAAGTTTGAAGCATCTTACTTGCTGTATCTTAGAGTCAAATTCTGTTACAAAGGTGATTAGAAATTATGGCCAAAATGTAATGTGTGGCATTCCAGATATCAGCCAGCAACTTCTGCTTTAGGCTGCATGGCAAGTGCTTTTACTCTGCATCAGGAAGTTCTCACCAAGTTGTACTACTAGGAACTGCATTTTCTGGAGTGATATTAATCTGCTTCTCCTGACCAGTTATTTCATTATTCTTGTTACAGAGAATTTGTGCTGGTAACAATATGATAACAATAGATATAAAGATAGAATACATATATACTTCCTAATCATTTCTCTCTGTCTTTTTAAAATCAGCATGTGGAATTTGCTCTGACCAAATTCCAGAGTGTCAAGAAGGTGAAGTCCTTACCATAGATAGCAATACTACTGACAGATGTTGTCCTGCTTACCAGTGTGGTAAGTTTTGTTTACATTTTCCCCACTGATTGTTTCACTTAGTCTGAAAAAAATTAGCTAGCATGATGAATAGTGGATTATGCAAATGTTTATTAATGGTTATCTATTAAATCTATTAAGTACATGTTTCACTTAGTCTGAAAAAAATTAGCTAGTATTATGAGTAGTGGATTATGCAAATGTTCATTAATGGTTATATATTAAGTACACGTTTAAGGCAGTTATGCAAGGATAAATATTGTTACTAACTCTCTAATTATTGTGTAGTACCGGGCTAGCTCTTAAGAGGCACATTCCATCATTGGCTGGCCTAAGTACACAGGGTGGGGCCAAAGCACAGTGGATGCAGCTAAGTGTAACTCTACTACCATGGACATTTTCGCACCAACAGCATATAATTCAATTCTGTACACGCTTAAGTTTCAGTACAACAACTTTCAATCATGCAAAGCATCTGCAGTTCTATGCATGTGTGCTCAGGAGAGTGGTTGCTCAGTTACTCCTTGCACTGAAGAAGGTTCAGATAATTGCATTTAGGTTCGTGGATTGCTAACCTTCCTGTTGTTTATCTCTGATTAGAAATAACACTAGAAAAAGCTTGTGGGTGGGACAAGGACGAACCTGTCTGTCACATTAAACTGATGACTGATTATTTGTTATTTATTTTTTTAAAAATATTTTTATCCCACCTTTCTCCTTAAAAAGAACTCAAGGTGGCTGTTAAGAATTAAAACATTTTTCTTGTGAAGCAAAGATGATGAATGCATTATGTTTTCCAGCATGGTACTTCTCATCATCATAATTTGTTGTCTGTTGGGATATTTAGTCCAAGTCCTTTTTTTCTTGTACTTTTAATTTCCAGTTTGTGAAACCTATCGTTGCCCTCAATTTAAGTGTGTCTTAGGAATGTCCTTGGTGGAAGTGTGGAGTCCAGAGAAGTGTTGTCCGTATCGTAGATGTGGTAATTATCGTTCTTTTCACCATATTTAATTAATTTATGCCCATACGTCTGACAATATGAAAATGAGAATTCATTTATACAAATATTGAAAAATGCAGTTGACAAAAAAACCGAAGCCATCAGTAATCTAGCTATGGTATTCCGAACAATATTTTCTGGAGATGCAATATGGTAGGCTGGTGCTGAACAGTCGCATATTTTATCTGATAGAAAACCTGGCAAAAGCGCTCTTCCATCTTTAAAACATCAGGATCACACATGAAAATAGTGTTTTTGATTAAAACTGTACTATTAGGTCTTTCATGCCTCTACTGTATGTGCATTAAATATTGAAGAAATTTTAAATTGTCAATTATAAATTTATATAAATTTATGTGGCTTGAGAAAATAATAAATTTAAAGATAAAGAAAGACATTTCTAACCATGTGCATTTTGAAGTATTAAATTTAAGACTTATACCATAAGTACAGAAGATACAAGCTTAGTAAATCATATCATTCTCTACAAATTAAGAATGTGGTCCACTTATATGAATTGATTTTGAAATATATATTCATCCAATTTTATATATCTTATATCAATGTATACTCACTATTTTGAATTTTCTGTATGCTTGCTTGTTTGCTCAATAACTCTTTGAAAAGAAGATTCTTTTTAAACTATTAAGTGATAAAAATCAGAGATCTCCAGGAAGTAAACAAATTAAACATCAAATGGTACAATATCATCTGAGACTACAAATAAATTCCTTGGCATTTGTGTGCAAACACAGATCTATAAGTCTCTCATAGGCAGTCTATTTAAGACAGGAGGCATGTGAAGATATTCAGATATTCCTATGTGGAATCTCACAATGGTGGCAAGCCAGCCAGGAAATAACATGGACACAGCGTAGCTAACTGGCTAAGGCTTGGTGAGAAAATGTTTTTCTCTGTGTTGATAACATGCTTAAAGCTAAGTAATGCTTTTTACTCTGTCTTTTTTTTTACTTTTAGAAATTTAAATACTTTCTCATATTTTTCACTGAAAGTTATAAGGTTTTTTTTGCTTTTTATAATGTTGTTCTTAAGAACTCTGAAGTGTTCTAGAGATGTATTCTCTGTATTAGGCTTTTAAATCCTTATTGTTCACTTTTGAAAGCTAGAAATGTATTCTCTGCCTTATTAGGCTTTTAAATGCTTATTGTTCACTTTTGAAAAAGTCTGTGTTCTTGATAGAAATACTCCTGTGTTTTAGAGTGTGATTTAAAACACTATTTTTTAAATACTTGTCCTATATTTTTGACTGTATTAGCTCCTGTATTTCAACGTACCTATGTTTTGTATTCAAGCTTAAGTCCATCTTTTAAGTATTTTAGTATTTGTGCCTGCAGCTTTGTTTACAAAGAGAAATGGCATCTTGGCAGGCAAAAAAGCAGAAGCAGAAAGGAAGAACAGAAAAGTTATAATGATTGGATGGAACTTGGTTTGCACTTCTGTTAAATGGTGGATAAACTCTGGCTACCCAGATATTTGTGCACGGCAATTCTGATAGTCCCTCACCACTGACCACATTAGATAGGATTGCTGAGAGAACTATAGTAATTCAGCCCTTGTGGAGAGTGTTCAATGTGAAGTATAGTCAAAATCATTAGTTATATAGAAAGCAATCCCAGGGAAGAAATCACGTTCAGTATACATTAATTATACAATGTCCACCAAGTTCCTGTTGGATGTAACAGCCATGCCTCTGACTAGCCAGCTGAAGGTTAGTCTTAGCCAATTATTCCAACAGGCTGCATGTATCACATGGGAAAGTAATCAAAGTAATTTTCTAGTATTTAATTGCCTTTGACAAAAAGTGTGTACAGTTTTCTGAATACTGATTGTATGAATTTTTATATTATTATTTTAGAGTGTGCATGTGACACAATTCCTAAGCCTCAATGTAAACTGGTAAGGAGGATATCTTACTAAAATATGTTCTAAATATATATTTTTATAATGTAACATAACATCTACAGGTAGTGCTTTCTTTCCTCTAGGATGCTGAATATATTTGACAATATGGGCCAAAGTGCTATAGTGTAATGTCAGATTCATAAAGGGGTTTGAACAAGCAGTTTTTGCAATTTTCTGGCCTTCTATGGCATGCCAGGGCATGCAGCTAATTGTGTAACTGAGTGTATGACTGGAGCATGTCAGGGCACAATCATACACACCGATTACTTGATTTTGGTCATGGACTTTGCTACCACTATTCTATAAACAAAGTGTATCTGAAATATTCAGCAAAAGTGGGAGGACCACTTACAATCCATCACAATCATCCATACCATATAGTAAACAATGGCCTCACTCAATTTGATTTCCACACGTCTGATATTGTCAGAGAAACAAATTAGTATATTTGACATGCAAGCAAATGTTTAGGTTAAGCCTTCCAGCAGATCAGCCCTAAGCATATTACTGAGAAGTAAATCACACTGAAATCAATGGTATTCATAGCTATGTATAAGAGCATAATTTAGAGCTACATTACTGTACCCTATAAATCTGGGAATAAACCTCCATTATACTTAGAGCCAAATAGTAATTATAGATAGCCTGCTCTCCAGGGATATTATTCAGGCAGACTTTCATGAATCGAGCCATCATTCTTACAAAAGAAGCCTGTGCTTATGTCCCAGTAGCCAAAGTGCTGTGACAACCAGACATTTTCTGTCTTTAAGGAACTCCCTCTTCTAATGACATATTTTCTACAATACATAATTTGGCCCTCACTGATAACAAGAAATGTATTGGTCCTTGATTTTTATACGAAATTTATGGGATTACTTGAGAAGTGTAATTTGTCATTGAACAAGAAAATAAACAATTGCAGGTGAAGTAGATTTGTAGGGTCCCGCATGCCATGTTCCTTAGTACTGATGGGCAAAGTAGAGGAAAATCAACTGATATTTCTAATATAACAGTGGTACTTTTCTTTTTCTATGGACAGGGAGAGAAAATGATTATAGATGAAGAATTCCAGAACAACACAGAAAATGTTTGTCACTGCACTAAGTACAAATGTTGTAAGTAAGAGTTTTATTGAGCCCCATCCCCAATATATAGTTTATGACACTCTCTTATGAGTCATTTCCCCACTCAAAATTCAGAACTCAGGGCATCGATAGTGTAATAGATCAGACATAAGATATTAATGTTAACACAGAAGAGTTTCTCCTTTCCTGAAAAAATTTATGGAAGGCTGGAAAATAAGAGAATCATAGAATAATGGAAGGGGCCATTGGGTCCAATAGGTCATTTATATTTTTAAAGAGAATGACCAATAGGTCATTTCTATTTTTAAAGAGCCAGTGCCAGTATAATAGTGATATGTTATTCAATTCTTTAAAATAAATAACTGTCCAAGCATTCTTCAACAGTTTTCAAGAATAGATCACTGGTTCTGAGAGATGACTGATAACAACAGATGGGCCACAAATACATCTTAGCGCATAAATTTTATCTTTTAACAGACCCGTGGTTCTTGTGAAGATTCAAAAATGTTATGTTTTTATCATCCTTGTTTGAAACAGTAGTTTCCTAAAATAACTAACGATGACACTGTCCAACCATCTCGTCCTCTGTCGTCCCCTTCTCCTCTTGCCCTCACACTTTCCTAACATCAGGGTCTTTTCCAGGGAGTCCTCTCTTCTCATGAGATGGCCAAAGTATTGGAGCCTCAGCTTCAGAATCTGTCCTTCCAGTGAGGACTCAGGGTTGATTTCCTTTAGGATGGATATGTTTCTTCTCCTTGCAGTCCAGGGGACTCTCAAGAGTCTCCTCCAGCACCACAATTCAAAAGCATCAATTCTTCGGCAGTCAGCTTTCTTTAACAAATTTCTCAACAAATACATCTTAGTGCATAAATTTTATCTTTTAACAGACCCATGGTTCTTGTGAAGATTAAAAAATGTTGTTATGTTTTTATCATCCTTGTTTGAAACAGTAGTTTCCTAAAATAACTTTACCCAATTTTGTGTTTTGTGTTTTTGCTGTTCCACAGCAAGAGACAAAGTGTGTCTGAGCAGTGAGAGAGGTGTTCTTCGTCCAGGACAGTCGATTGTTGAACACTCTCCTGATGGTGTTTGCCACACTTCCTACTGCACAAGCGTAATTGACCCTGTTACCAAGTACTATCAGTTAAATATCTCCACTGTAGATTGTGCGGCAAGGTGCAAATCTGTAAGATATTCAGAATTAAACTATCAGTTTTCACTGGGAAATTAGAACAGATTGGAACAAAAACTGTATGCCATTCTATTAAGAATCGAGGCTGCCTGTGTTTACATGATTTCTCCCGCTGAATCTCCATTATGTTTTCTAACATGAGAACAGAGTTTGAAAATAGGAGTGATTCACGTATCGTATTCTTCTTGAGAATAGATGATGTTGTGGCTGTAATAAGCTTTGCAAAGTTCTGTTGCAGGCTGTCTTCTCTATATATCCAATAGCTGCAAGAATAATTAGAAACTATAGAAATGTATAGCATACTGTGTAAAATAGGCTTTAAAGACAACATGATTCTCTGTGAACAATCTAGTTAACTTCTCATGATGTTAGAGGCAATAGCTTTTTAAAATATAAGGAAAAATGAACACAATTAATTTAAAGTGTAACATGGGTTGTGGTATGACTTCTCTTTGCTCATTACAAAGCTCAGCTTACCTGGGTTATTTTTATGTGATAGCACATATTGTCTATTCCACATGCATACTCATGTACAGACTGTAAAAAAAACACATGCACATAGAAATCTTGAGCTTGACAATAATTAGTTACAAGTAATTTATCTGCAACTAATTGGTTTGGCAGTAAAATGTAATGATTAACTATGTTACTTTATAGGTATATATATTAAAGTAACTATGTTGCTTTATAGGTGTATTACTTCATTGTGACAAACACTTGTGTAGCAAGTAATATGTTCCTAATTTACTTTTTGAACAGCATTTTAAGGTATTTCTAGAAGCATTATAGAAGCTTCTAGGAAGAAACAAGTAATGTGAAAAGTTAATTTGAATAAGCAAGAAGTAATGCAACAATTCCTTTCAAATTTTACTGAGTGGTATTCTGTATTCCGATGTGATAGCACATATTGTCTATTCCACATGCATACTCATGTACAGACTGTAAAAAAAACACATGCACATAGAAATCTTGAGCTTGACAATAATTAGTTACAAGTAATTTATCTGCAACTAATTGGTTTGGCAGTAAAATGTAATGATTAACTATGTTACTTTATAGGTATATATATTAAAGTAACTATGTTGCTTTATAGGTGTATTACTTCATTGTGACAAACACTTGTAGCAAGTAATATGTTCCAAATTTACTTTTTGAACAGCATTTTAAGGTATTTCTAGAAGCATTATAGAAGCTTCTAAGAAGAAACAAGTAATGTGAAAAGTTCATTTGAATAAGCAAGAAGTAATGAAACAATTCCTTTCAAATTTTACTGAGCGGTATTCTGTATTCCTCATCTGTTCTTTCACAATTGTGTGTAGATGCAGGCCATGATAAAGCACAAGTAGCACTATAACCTGCTCCTGTATAAAACACTTTCCTATGGGAAATTTTGCTTCAACTTAAGAACGTTTCAACTTAAGAACACCATTCCAAAACGGATTAAGTTCTTAAGTAGAGGTTCCACTGTATAACCTGCTCCTGTATAAAACATTGTTGTACTGAATACCTGCATTGCTAGTAGTACGTTATCGGACATGTTTTTGTTTGCTTTATTTCTTTCTATGAAATAAGTCTGGAAAGTGTTTCAGAAAACTATTTAAATGATAGTTGAATTAACATATTTGACTTTTACAGCACGAAGTGTATGAACCTCCAAAAGATTTAACAACCTGTTGTGGAATGTGTAAGAATGTCTCCTGTATCCACACTTTCAACAATGGAACACTTTCGCATTTCAAGGTAAATCAGCATTTTACATTTTTTTTCTTGTTGGAGCTAGAAGAACTGTAACACATTAATTAAGTACAAGTTCTGAGTTTAGCTTTTAGTTAGTTATATGCTGTCAAGTTGGAACTGACTTTAAGCAACCTTAATAGGGCTTGCAGTGTGAGATATTTAAGAAGTGGTTTACCATTTCCACACCCCCAGTAAGCTTCCATGGCCAAGTGGGGATTCGAACTTTGATCTCTAGTGTCTGCTCTATCCACTACACCACACTGGTACCCATTTTGTTTAGCTTTTACCCACAAACAAACAAACATGTATTGTATTGTCTTAGCAAGGAATTGTTTTTCAAGTGGCGGCAGCAGCAATATGGATTAAGATGGTGGTCAAAGAATATGAAGTTGCACATTTGTATTCCATTAGGTGTCCATCTTACTTCTCTCCACCACTTGACCAGGGTCTAAAAATTAGGGTTTTAATTTTTAAAAAATGATGCAGTGGTTCTACACTAATAAGGTTGCTCCAACGACCTTTACTAAACCAAAATAATTTTAACTAAGAATAGATTTTAAAACTTAAAAGGGTGTTTTCTCCTTCCAGTGGCCTAAAAAGTTGTTAAAATGTCTTAAAACACTGAGGGGCCTGTATTGCTCATGGTCCAGCAAAATATAGCATAATTGGTCCCCATGTCTCCTAGAGAATACAACGGGAATACGCAAAATAATGTGGGATATGGGGACAGGCACAAACTACATTTTTCCAATCCCTGGTGTGAAAGTATTTCTCTGCTCCACTATTCACTTCAAGGATACAATTGGAAGCTGATTTCCCAAGCGAAATAGTACTTGTTAGAAACAACAGTGGCTTCACCAGCACTGTAAATAGACCAGTTCAGGTTAACAAGTGTTTTCTTGTGCAAATTCTAATTCAAATATTGGTATGTTTTAATGCAAATACTGATCTGCTTGTATTCCTGATAATAATTTTAAATGCTTACATAGCCTGGCAGCACTTGGATTTCAAACTGTGTCAGATATGACTGCAAAAACACACCACATGGACCTGTTCTAATTACATCATCCATCAGTTGCCCACCATTCAATGAAACAGAATGTGTGAAGGTTGGTGCTTTCATCCATTTTTTATTCATGATTTCAAAATGTTTCACAACCACCACACAAAATTTCCTGTCCATTACTGATTGAGGGGGGGGGGCTCTGCATTTTCACAACATGATGGCAGCAATGCTCAAGATCATTTCAGAACTGTCAAGGTTAAATGACACAGTGAGCACTGTAATGACTTACATATTTATCGGGTTAAAAATGTGTAAAAGCACAAGAACCTCTGAAGAGTTCTGTGGGATTCTTCAGAGGTTCTTGTATTTTGCAGAATTATTTTGCAGTTACCATGAATGACATTAAATTGTGCTATTCCACTTCAGTCCAATTTTTTGCAGCAAAATTACTGCGGCTTATAGTTTACATTCTCACTTCAGAAGCATATACCTCCCTTAGTCTGGTCAGTATTTTGTTTCAGGTAACAATTATGCTTTACTAGTCTTGAGTTGCTTCCAGACAAACTTTTTAATGGAACATCCAGAGGACGTCATCATCTATTGGTTAGCCTATGATCATTCCCATTTTGTCCATTTTTCTCTAAATGGAAAACATAGTACAAAACCATATTCACTTCTGGAAGTAGCCTTTTAATTTTTTTTTAAAAAAAATTATAATCCCATTTTTAAAATTAGAACAAACACTGGAGAGCTATTCTCCAGTCTACCTACTGTCAGGACTCCTTAAAAGAATAGCCAGGGCTCAGTTCCAGTAAATTCCTTTCTTATAGCATGAAGACCTATGGATTAGTAGTGCTAAAGAAATATTTCATCATTGGTTTTACCTTTTCTTCATTGTTGTGCTTATCCAGGTTGGTGGATATATTGTGCCATTCCTAGAAGGATGCTGCAAGACATGTAAGTAAAACATAGGTATCTGCATATATGATAGAAGGGTCTTTGGGGATTGGTTGCCTTTAAAGCACCTGAGTAATAACAGACAATAATATCAACAAAAGCAGCTGCTACCACTGCTAGTAGAAGTAATAATTACAAAATACAATATAATTTATGCTCTCTCTCTCTCTCTCTCTCTCTGTCTGTGTGTGTGTGTATGTGTATACACACACACACCAACTGGTTGTACCAAAATGTCATTCTGATCCTACTTTGTCTACATAGAATATATTCAATTTTAATTAATGAAACTTGGTTCTAAGTCTATAGAAACAACTTAAAAAGGGATAATCATATATTGCCAGTAACACTGAATCTGTGTTTAAAAGGAGTTTAGACCCTGTACATTAAAGCCATGATACACCAGGCTTTTATTTCTTCTGGTAGAAACCAAATAGCTGCATTTCTGCCATTATGAATTATTTAGTCAGAAACCATTTGCAGATCACTTTCTTAACCATTTGAGTGAGAATAAGACAAGAACTAGTAAATTGCTGGCCAGATATTCAGTTGCTGGCCTATGGCTGAGCAGCCCCGGGTCCCCCAACCTGTTATCATAATGAAAGATGTAGACAGAGTTCTGGAAGGAAAAGGACAGAACTTTATTGGTCACAGCAATAAAGGTGCTAGCTCATCACTGGGGATGGATCCAGTGCACTGAGAGACCCACCTGCCTTATTCCATGCAGAGTAATAGACCATGAAGACTACATAGGCGTACACAATTCCTTTCCTCCCTGCCTCCAGTTCCCATTATGGGGATCCCTTAATTTCCAGGGGCTGTAGGACCTACTTGCCTCCTGTTAACACCACCCCAAACTGCTAACTCACTTTCTTTGATTTGAATTTTTTTTATCACAGCCATTTAATTCATCTAAATAAAGTTTATTGTATATGTCCTTTGACAACTGATTTACTGCTTAACATCCTCACATATAAGCTATTCAAATGCAACATCATAAACAAATTATTGACTTTGGAAGAGTTAAGAAAGAAAAGGAGAAACATGGTGCTATTACATGTGACACCATTCAGTAGTAACATATGCAACCACTGAAGTTGTTGTTCATAAGTTTTGATGAAAGTTTGATAACAGAACCTGAAACAATAGACACTCCGTTATTTCAGCTCATTACAATTTGTTTTTAATATAGTACCAGTATTTTGCTCAAAATACAATTTTGCAGAAACATACCTCTTTTTTAGTGGCTGCTGTTACTGATTTTAAATGTGTGAGCATTTTTATTCCTGTGTGAGAAAGAAACATCTTGCTGTGCTTGCCAAATTTTTTTTCTTCAGAATGTCTCAATGGGACAGAAACCCTTTTCTGTTCTTGAGGATGAAAACATTTGCAAGTGTACATTACATCATCATCTAATAGTCTTTTGATTTAAAGTAATCTTGGAAGTATTAGCTATGTTTTATGGTACAAAGGACCTAAGCTGTTTCTGCTTTTTTATAAGTTTACACATATTTATGCTTTTATTAAACCTAGAACTATCTTGGTATAAGATTATATTAAAGTATCAGTTTGCCTTTTGGATTGCATAAACACATTTCTTGGGTGTTGGTAGCAGTAACGAACCACTCCTCAAACATCTTGATTACCTCAGAAACTCTGTTAAGTCACCATAATGGGAAAGCAACTTGATAGCATATAACAACAGGCACACTTACCTAAGAGTAAGTCCTGTTAAACTCAATGGGATATACTGCCTAAGTAGAAATGCATTGTGCCACAGATTTTATTGTTCAAAAAGTTTGGGACAAAATTGGCACAGATGAGCAATGTAATGCCTAGCCCTCTGCTTGGTTGTTGACTGTGATGTTTCTAGAATTTGCCACATTTCATTGGGTAACTTGTGGCAATATTCAGCAGGTGAATTTCACTGGCAAAATGTTGGGATGCATCAGAACTGTGTGGTGAGCATCTGCCCGTGCACTCCCAAGCAAATTCTGAGGTCTATGAAACCTTTCAGAGCTGGTTAGGAGATGATGTAGAGAGCTGATGGATAAAAGGGAGGATACTTTCACTACTGATCCCAGTGTAATGCTGAATTTAGCCAGTGGGCCCAAATCCTTGTTCAAGCATGGGGCATTTATCCTAAACTTGCCTTACAGCTTTGATACAAGAATAAAATGGAGCAACACCCTAGAATTAGGTACATGTACATGTATAATGCAATGTGATGATATATACCACTTTGAACTTCATGTAAGAAAAGTGGGATTTGGATAATAAAAAATAAGATATTACCATGTGTAATTAACAGTGAAGGAACTGATTGAAGAATAATTACATACAGGCAAAATTACTGCCACAAAAGCAGCAATTTGTTTTAAATATAAAATAAGAAAATATTAATTAAAATTTATCTTGGTTACCACTCTATAAAATTATTATAGAATTATTAACATCGGAGGTTGACTGAACTAAAGTGCGCATGCATGCATGCATACATACATACATACATACATACATACATACATACATACATACATACATACATACATACATACATACATACATACATACATACATACATACCTTGTCAACACACTTATTTCATGGAACATGGGAGATTCCAAAAGGCTGGGCCCCATCTTGAAAGTCAAGTTATCAAATGTTGAGTACTGATTAAGGAACATTTATTTACTGTATTGTGTGTAATGAATTCAATTTGTAATATTTTTATTAGGTTCTGGAAAATCAGTGTTGCTCCCATTCCCTGTTAGCCCAGTCATTCCCACATCTAGTGGTAATTGTAAACCAGGTACATTTTCTTGGAAATTGTAGCCAAAAAAAGAGGCCAAAACCATTGTTGATTTCCAACAATGTACTTCCTGAAAGGAGCATAATACTCTCAAGGCATAAAAATCTGATTGAAAGAAGCTGCATTGTAGTGTTGGCCACTGTTCAGATTTGCTTTCATATTTTTTTATTTTGCGCTGTATGGGCAGTGCATTGTTGTTAGCCAACAATGTACTGTTGGTACCACCATTTGCATAGTATTTAGTTTCATGCATGAATATTTTGTTTGTTAATTTCAGTAATTTCTGTAGTTCCGTAGAACTTAGAAACTAACCACTTTCTTTGTTGAAGCTTACTGTTCAAATAACACTTTGGGGAACAGCATGGCTCATGGCTCCTCAACAGTACAAGCTGAATGAATATTTAAATAGTTGTTGTGGGTTTTTCGGGCTCTTTGGCCGTGTACTGAAGAGGACAGCACTCTGTGAGAGCACAGAGTGTTGTCCTCTGAAGATGCCAGCCACAGGGACTGGCGAAAAGTTAGGAAGAACAACCTTCAGAACATGGCCTAAAGACCAATCACAGAATTGGAAATGCTGGCATGTGATAGAATCCTGTTGTGGTGCTCACACACAATTGGCTCTTAAAAGATTTTCCTGTTCTAATAATAAACCATCTATCACATCTATTTCTGCCAGTTGTTTTTTTTTTGCTGCCTACAGTAATTAAGCACTTCTGTTTTAAAATAGAAGAAATCGACCAAAAGAAATCCACTCCTCTCAGCTTCAGATGATTTTAGATTCCCCCCGCAACAGCTGAAAACACCTTTACACTCATGGGTTACAAATGGTGCACAATGTCAGGGAGCTATTTTTCACTCACTGCTTAGATTATCCATATACTGTAAAAGCACTATATGTATTTCCTTTTTGTAACAATTTTGAAGAAAATCTAAATAATAGATACTGTATATTTTAAATATGTACAGTCATGTGAAAAAGAAAGTACATCCTCTTTGAATTCTATGGTTTTACTTATCAGAACATAATAGAAATCATCTGATTGTTAGCAGGTCTGAACATTAGGTAAATACAACCTGAGATGAACAACACATGACATATTATACCATGTCATGATTTTAATTAACAAAAATAAAATAAAACTTCTCCATAATGAAGAAGCCATGTGTGAAAAACTAAGAACACTCTTACTGCTTCCATAGGAATTAACAGGTTAAGTAGCATCCAGGTGCTGCTAACCAAATGCCCTTGATCATCTATAAAAGCTGAAGTTTTAGCAGTTTGCTGGTCTGGAGCATTCAGATGTGTGTTAACACGGTGCTAAGGAGGAAACACATCCACAATGATTGTAGAGAAGCAATTGTTGCTGCCCATCAATCTGCAAAAACTCCAAGAGTTACATGGTCAGACAAGCCTCAGTTAGCATGTGAAATGTTCAAGTTCATGACAGCACAATTAGAAAAAGACTGAACAGTTATGGTTTGTTTGGAAGGGTTGCCTTCCTCTTCTTTCTAAAAGAAACATGGCAGCATGGCTTAGGACTTCAGGAACAATGTCTTTGGACAAAAACAAAAAACAAAAGTAGAGATGTTTGGCCATAATGTACAGCACCAAACACAGCATATCAGCACAAACACCTTGTACCATCAAGTACAGTGGTGGAAGGATGATGATTTGGGCTTGTTTTGCAGCCACAGCACCTTGGGCATCTTGCAGTCATTGAGTTGACCCTATAACAGGGTTTTCTAGAGTGAAATGGGAGGCCATCTGTCCAACAGCTAAAGCTTGGCCAAAATTGAGTCATGTAACAAGATAATGATCACAAGCATATCAGTAAATCTACAATAGAGTGGCTGAAAAAGAAAAGAATCAAGGTGTTGCTGTGGCACAGTCAAAGTCCAGACATGAACCTGATTGGATTGCTGTGGCAGGACCATAAGAGAGCTGTGCATTAACAAATGACTGCAAACCTCAGCAAAGTGAAAAACATTTTAAAGAAGAGTGGTCAAGAATTCTTCCATAACAATGTGAGAGACTGATAAAGTAATACAGAAAATGGTTACTTCTAGTTATTGCTGCTAATGGTGGTTCCACAAGCTATTGAATCAAAAGGTGTACTTAGTTTGTCACACATCTTCTCCACTTTCGGTTTATTTTTATAAAATAAATCATGACATGGTGTAATGTGTCATGTGTTGTTATTAATCTGTGGTTGCATTTACCTAATTTTCAGACCTGTTAAGGATGAGATGGTTTTTATTATGCCCTGATATGTAAAACCACAGAATTCAAAGAGGGTGTAGTTTCGTTTTTACAAGACTGTATTGCCAGCAGTTTTATATACAACCCCATCTGAGGTTGTATTTGCCTAATTTTCAGATCTTCATGCTATTGCTAGCAGTTTTATATACAACCCCATCTGAGGTTGGATTTACCTTATTTTCAGATCTTTATGCTGTCCTAATATGCAAAACCATAGAATTCAAAGAGGATGTACTTTCTTTTTTGTATGACTGTATCTTTCAATTAGAAACAAAAATAGAATAAAAGACTTTATTCTGCATTAAGGAGGGTTAGTCTCTCACTGTTTCGCTCTGTGAGTTTTATATACAACCCCATCTGAGGTTGGATTTACCTTATTTTCAGATCTTTATGCTGTCCTAATATGCAAAACCATAGAATTCAAAGAGGATGTACTTTCTTTTTTGTATGACTGTATCTTTCAATTAGAAACAAAAATAGAATAAAAGACTTTATTCTGCATTAAGGAGGGTTAGTCTCTCACTGTTTCGCTCTGTGTATTCTGTACTGTACAATTGGCCAATGGTGGCTTTTGCTTCTGTGGCATTGTGTTTATGGCATGGGACTACACTTAAATCCTGTAGACATCGAGGATTCCTGTGATGTAGTTAATTGCAGCACACATACCACATTGATTGATGTGCTTAATTAGATTATAATTAAGCACCAGTTTGATTATATTGAGTTCAACTGGATTAGACTACCTTCACCATTTCTATTCCAGCTTTAGGGGTAAGGTATAAAAGTTACTTTTACTTCGAAATTATACATTATACCTTTAGGGCAGAACCATTCATATCACACGAGGATACTTGACAATAAATGTCTCAAAGACATTTGGCTATGCAGACCTTAGATTATACTCCTGAATTCTTGGAAATAATAATAAAAGTCATTAGGGCTTCTAAAAAATTTATTTGGAATTTAATTTTCTATAGCTACAGAAAAAGGGTTTCAGGCTGTTGCTTTCCAGCCAGGGCACGGGTTCAAATTCTACACATAATAGTGACTGTACTGGAACAATCTTACGACCTTTTCTTGAAAACTGTTGAAAATTTACAGTATATGTAGAAAATTTTTAATTTCAGAAATGTAATGACACCAATCATCTCCCTTGCCCCTGCCCACCACCCCATATTTTGTCATGTTAGTTTATATATGTTTACAGGCTTTTTTTATGTTTACAGAGATTTGTAAAAAATGACTTGACATTTTCAAATCAATTCATTCTTCACAGGCAAAGAAGATGGAAAATTCTGTAAAAAAGTAACTGTTCGGATGACAATTCGCAAAAATGATTGTCGAAGTAACACACCGGTAGGTAAAGCATCAGGAATGAGGGGTGGAACTTTTGTATTACCATGAATAGGAGCAAACATAGAAAGTGAGTTTTTCTCATGCCTTTCTGGGAGACTTTAAAGCACAAATTATCCTTGATAATGGAAAAGAGATACACAGGAGCTTCATGTTTTTCCGTGTTTCTTTCTTCCATGTTACAGTATCTTCTCTTCGCACTGTGTATCAAATCATCTAGGAATTTGTATTGAATAGTGTCATGAAAGCTGTTGTTAGGAGCAAGTTCTTAACTCGAGCCGTTCTTAAGTTAAGGCCCCACTGTACCATGAATGGGAGCAAACATAGAAAATGAGTTTTTCTCATGCCTTTCTGGGAGACTTTAAAGCACAAATTATCCTTGATAATGGAAAAGAGATACACGGGAGCTTCATGTTTTTCAATGTTTCTTTCTTCCATGTTACAGTATCTTCTCTTCGCACTGTGTATCAAATCATCTAGGAATTTGTATTGAATAGTGTCATGAAAGCTGTTGTTAGCAGCAATTATAATGTATGGCAAGAGAGTGGGAATTTTGAACCAATAACAATTAGTGTTATTTAAAAGGTCTAGATTGGTTGGAGCCCACTGAAGAAGAGTGCTCTTTCCTTTCAAGTCATTCTTGGGAGTTTTGTGTACCCACTCAGTTCTCTGTCTCAACTGATGTCAGCAGCAGAGTGACAGGGAGTGGACAGCCTCAGCACAGCCACTCTGAGCGATGCGGGCCAGGCCGATTTCCTTCCTGCTCCTGATGTTATTAGCACTGGATAAAATGAGTGTAAGGCAGAGGCAGTGGAGGAAAAAAAAGGAAGAGGTGGAGGGAGTCATTTCTCCTATCTGGGCTGTGGCAGGAACCAATGAGTCAGGCAGGTGCTGCAGCTACAGTGCAGAAAGGAGAGGAGAGCAGTGGCAGCCCCTTTGGCACTGTACAACTTGGGGTGTCCTTCCTATTGCCTCACATATTGTGGGTCGGCAGAGGCAGTGGAGGAAAAAAAAGGAAGAGGTGGAGGGAGTCATTTCTCCTATCTGGCCTGTGGCAGGAACCAATGAATCAGGCAGGTGCTGAAGCTACAGTGCAGAATATTGTGGGTGATCACGGAACAAAGGAAGGCTAATTGCCTTAGAGAGAGAACAAAGGAGTCGACAGCGGATGTCCAAGCCAGCGGAGCCTACTGACAATGCTCCCGAGAGCTCTTTTATTTACTCAGCATGATTACATAGTATGTTATGAAAAACCTACTGACAATGCCCCCGAGAGCCCTTTTATTTACTTAGCATGATTACATAGTAATGTTATGAGAAAGACAGATAGGATACTAGTTACCTAATCGTAACTAGGATTGGCTAAAATAACCCTTTGATCTTATGCTGTACCTCTAAGCGAAAGGGCAGAATAAGGGGTTACCCCACCTGCTGTCACCTGCCGCTTCCTGCCAGGAGTATATGTACGTCACTGGAATAGAATGCAGCTACAACCTTCAAGCAGAAGTTTCCCACAACATATGGGCAAATATATGGAGCAGTGGTAGCAAAAGAAGCCTGAGAGCAGGATTCAGACAAAAAAAATGAAGGCAAGAGTTATGGCATTGGATAAGAACATGAGAAGAGCCCTGCTGGATCAGGCCAAGGGCCCATCTAGTCCAGCTTCCTGTATCTCACTGTAGCCCCACCAGATGCCTCTGGGAGTACACAAGACGACTGGATGCCTGTCTCCTGATACTCCTTCCCCACATCTGTGCTGTGTAAACACGCTGTGTAAAGAAATATTTTCTTTTGTCTGTTCTCACTCTCCCAATACTCAATTGGAGTGGATGTCCCCTGGTTCTGTCATTGTGTGAGAGGGAAAAGAGCTTCCCTCTATCCACTTTATCCATCCGCTGCATAATTTTATACATCTCAATCATGGCCCCCAGTTGCCTTTTCTCGAGACTAAAGAGCCCCAAACACTGTAGCCTTTCTTCATAAGAGAGGTGCCTCAGCCCAGTAATCATTTTAGTCATTCTCTTCTGCACCTTTTCCATTTCCACCATGCTAGTGTTGGGAGTGGGGTATCATAAGTGCCAAGGCTTTTTGGACTACCAGTGCTAGTAAACAAATGGGGAGACAGGCACAGAAATAATATGTTAAGTGGTAAAGGCCATTGCATTGAAAACACGGAAATGGAAGAGACACGTACATAGTCTCAAGGAACCTGGAGTGAAATGAACATGAAAGTTTTTGCCATGTGCATACCTATAAGCACTCAACCACTACTAATTTGCACTCTGTTACCACACATGTTTGCAGTGTTCTTGGTTGGGAGTGCTGTATTTATTTGTCTTTGTTGTTATTGTTGCTTTTTGCTTGTTTAAAATTATTTTTTATGTTTATTTCCAGGTAAACATTGTTTCCTGTGATGGAAAATGCCCTTCTGCAAGCATCTATAATTATAACATTAATGCCTATGCAAGATTCTGTAAATGCTGCAGGGAACTTGGGCTGCACAAACGCAACGTGCAGCTGTATTGCAGTGGCAACTCAACCTGGGTCAGCTACACAATTCAAGAACCCACAGACTGTTCTTGCCAGTGGTCATGAAACAAAATTGTAAAAGAAATCAGTATGCTCAAAGTCTTTCAAAGGAAGTAATCATATTGCCAGAATCATGATTGTAGGGAATTTATGCCTCACCCTTTGCCAATGTAGTTGTCAACACTTAGAGAGAACAGCAATATCGATTTAAATAAAAACCATGATGTTCTGAGCAGTTCCACTTAACAGGTTAATTTTCTGCAATGACATTTTGAAAACAAAATCTTACAAGACTAAACTCATTCTGGGGATTGGTTAATGTAATGTACTTGGCTGCTTACCTAATACAAAATGCAGGTAGCCTTCTTGTGACAGCAATGTAACGCATGAAGAGGGAACTCAGAGTAATACTGTGTCAGCAGTAACTATGACCAGGGAATTTAAGAAATTCTCTTTCTCTTGTTCATGGAAGTTGTTGCTATATTATCTTGTTAATTCAGTGCTTTGTTTTATGACAGGAATTGCTAAATGTACAAATGTTGTCAATTGTAGTATATCAAGCACTGTAGAATCACTTTTTTAAAAAAGGAAAAAGGGCCTATTCCAGGTCTAGTTGCAAACAAATAGTTGTATATAACTCCTAATGGTCCCTGATGCGGAGGTAAATTCTGCTGGGCATCAAAAAATGAATCCAAGCAGTTCTGTTAGAAGGAAACTGGCATGTGTTGCCAGATATGCATCAATAGCTTATGCGTATGGAATTCAGTAGCATAAAGTGCTCTCTTGCTACTTTCAGCCCTTAATATTTTTATAGCTAGACTTTTATTACCTCCCCCCCCCTTTCTCACACACAAACAGAGGCACTTGAGGTTATGCATGATTGGGCCCCTCTTGTTAATTTTAAGATCTTGCAACATGTGCCAACTTAAAAAAGAGAAGGAAATGCTATTCAAAGAGACTATGGGACACAATAACACTGATTTCTGTGGAAGCCTGATGAAGTCTGTCGTGACCATAATACCACTTTTTATGGAAAACCATTTTCAGGTGGCATAGTATCTTAAATATATTGCAGTTAGAGTTTATACAAACTGGGTGCCTGTCACAGTAAATAGCAAGAAAGGTATCAGTATGAAGAATATGTATTGACAATGAGAGCACAAGGCAAATGGTGTAATATGCATGTTTATCAGGGAAATATTTTCATTATTGAAAACTGTATATAGGAACACGTTCCCTGGTATGATATATGATCTTAAACAATAGTCTGTGATATTTTTATGCAAAAACATATTTTCTATGCGATATAAATCTCCTACCTAGGTTACCCAATTTAAATACTAGCTGTATATATATCTTTAAAACAGTACAGCAAACTAAAGAAATGTATCAGTTTAATAAGAGGGGAAAAAGCTTTTTTCCCTGTACTTTATATGAAAATAATTAGTTTGCCTTTTAAAGCGTATCGCTTAGGAGATGTGACACTCACCTATGTTTTAATGAGAATAGCCAGAGTACTTCTCTGTTGGCATGCTTAGTTTAGGGTGGGTGGGAATGGCAGGAGTTTATTTTCTCCCTGAACAGTCACCTCTTGGTACTGCATTTCAAACTACTACTGAAAATCAAAAAGAATTTCAGAAGAAGTTTATGATTTCTTACTGGAAGGCAGCAACTTCCAGCAGACAATGTTGAGTTTTAAAAACTACTAGAATGCCCAGGCATTTCCTATCTCTAAATAGTATATTTTTGTTTAAAATAGGTACCCTGAAAACTTCATGGTTTTGAAGGAAACAAGCTACAGTTACTTCAAAGAGAATACTTTTCTCAAAGCAGTCCATATCTAATACTGTACTAAACACATGGGCCCATGGTGATATGCAAACCAGGGTCTTATAGATAATGTGTGGATTTTTGCTATTTGGAGAATCTGTATTGCCAAGCATTGCTTCTTGTTGTTCTCTTATTTTAACAAAGGCAATGGTTCATCATCATTTGTTTGTTATTCGTACATTCTCTGTATGTTATTCACATTTACCAATATGTGAACAATAGGAACCACAATTTTTATACAATTAGTCTTCTATCCTTGCTTTAAAGTGATAGATGTGATAATACATGACTTCTTTACATCCATATCCTTCACAGAATAACAGAACCCTGGACTGAATTTTTGCAATATTATTATATGATGCAGATTTTTTAAAAAGTCAAGTAACAAAGGTATGATGTTGGGCTTTTTTTTTTAAAAAAAAATTCTAAGCCATTTGTATTACCTGTTCATCATAAACAGTTTATATGTTACAATGCAAAACAAAAATATCTTTGTCATTCAAAGTTACTGTGTTTTTCTCTCTTAAAATTCAAACAATGATCCCTTTAACATAGCATTTGTCTGAGAGCTGTTACCAACATCACATTTCATTATCACATATAGCATTAATATAAAGAAATATTTCATGTCTATCCAGAAGTTCCCAAACTGTTTCTCTAGTAGTTGCCAAAACCCAGTCAACAATGAATGAAGTACTTCAAAACTGGTATTTGTCACATACTGCAATTAAAACATGTTATGATTCTTTTAATATTGCTAAGACATGAATATGAGATACAAACTTTCTGCAGATATATTAGGTTCCTCACTGAAGTTCATTTGCTAAATGCTTACATCTGGCCATTCTGACATGAAGATAAATCCCTCTGACTATTTCCAGAACACATCTCTATGAAAAACCCATGAAGGATTTACATTGAAATACCTTATATGCCATGTAAGTGTCTGTCTGGTTAAAAGACGTCGTGCTTAGTACAGTTTAGTTTTGTCACATTTATCCTGGGAAACATAGTACGTATAGAAATGTTTCCCAGGTTAAATAGAAAAATGTACACCCTTATTATGAAATTAACATATGTCATATTTTAACCCAAACAGTATTTTACACTAGAGAACACACTGATCTAATCTAAGTTCAACTCATGTCATATTGAATAGTGGTATCACAAACTCCAGCCATTGCTAGCAATGGCAAATAGTTGGGAGGACTCTCTGATCTGATATAAGCATGCTCTAAGTTAAGAATGATTAATATTCAAGTATATACATAGGACCAATATCTCTCTTTTTTATCATTATCTTTCTGTTAAGAGAGACTTAAATGCAAATAATTTTAGCTGTTTTACAAATTTGAACTTCCAAAATACAATTTGTTCCACATCTTGTGTTTTAATTACAAAAGAAGCTTAAAGTGAACTCCTACTCTTGATCTCTTCTTCCTAATCCCACAGCTGTGTTATCTAAACCTTATTCCCTCTTAGCAGCTGTACTGTTGACTTCTTGCTTCCTATGTTCCTAAAGAGGACAGAAGACAGACAAGCTCTATTCTGAAATGGACATTTAGATCAGTCCCTAATAGTCATGGTCTCCAGTCTCTCTCTGTGTGAAGGGCAATGGCTTTGAAGATACATGCTTCTTCTGGAGGTTTGGGGTTTAATTGGATGTGGCCTCTGTGTAGTGGATACTCCAGTATACTCCTATCATGGTAAAGTTTGGTGTTCTTTAAATAAGAGTTGGTGGCTTGATGAGGGAACTAGTATATCTTGCATTGTTTTTGCAGTCTGAGTATCAGTAATGGGAAATAAAGTTGACTCATAATGCAGAGCACTGGGATAGGATAGTGGAAAACAGTGGGACCTGCATAATCTCTGCTCCCAGTTCCAAGAGCCCGAGCAAGATGGATTTTCAGACCCAGACCTATCCTGGGTGGGACTAAACAGTCCATTTAGCCCAACCTAGATTGTTCTGGAAGAGTTGTTCTTAGATGCAGTGTGTAATCAACCACCTCAAGCAAATCAGTTTATCATGATGTAGGCTAATCTTTCCCTTTAAAGAGAAAGGGGGGAACCCAAGAACAACAAAAACAATCCCCTCCTATCTCCTCCTCAATACTTTTTCTAAGCCACTTAACAATCTGGAAATGGAACACTTCTTTGCCACTTGCTTGCTGAGGGGAAGGAAAAAGCAAATTTTCCATTTCTTTTTAATTGCTGCTACAATTAAACTGATACAATACATCAATTATGCTTTGGAAGGGCTTTTAAAAAGTCCTTTCAAAGTACTGCTGGCGAGTTAGCAACAATTAAAAGGAAATAGAAAACTTCCTTCCCTTTCCCCTCAGCAGCTGAATGAGAAGGAAGCTTTCCATTTCTCAAGATCATTAAGCAGCTTAAGCCACTGTGGTTTAATCCCAGCAATCACACATACTGGAAACAAATCACAAAAGTGATCTTACCCGCACCAAAAATAAACAAAAACAGGGGCTTCTGACAGGGACCAAAAATGGTGTGGGTGAGCAAGCTAGCTCACAATGGTCTGTGCATTGTGTGGTCACTGGGAAAAGGAGCAACCTTGCTCATCCCCAGTTTGAACTAAACTGTGGGACAAGTGCCTGTCTGATCACACCCAATGTGTTGGTGTAAGTTAGCAGAGTTTTTGTTTCAGTCCAGGCAGTCCAGTTGAATGACACAAAGACAGCTTCTTCCAACACCAAGTGTATTTATAGCATATACAGAAGTTCAGTAGTACAAACCGGCAGCATGACATTCATTAGAAGAGATCCATACATCTTCTCCACATGTCCCCACAGTTCTACACATGCACAGCCAATCAGTGTGCATCATCCCGGACTTCATGATTCAGCATTTTGCACACCTGTCAAATATGGTTGCTGATTATCGTAGGCCTTGTTGTGCCTCAGTGTGGAAATTTTCCTTGGCACATCTGCCTCAGTGTGGAAATTATCCTTGGCACGTAGTTTATCTTAAACAAGGCAACGTCAAATCTTTTCCATCCCATTTTGCAAGTATTAAAAACAGCAGAATTGGATGAGGTGAGGGTACGTCACTCAGCAGTAGAGGCCTTCCTTCACATGGAGAGTGTCCCAAGTTCAGTACCCAGCATCTCTGCACAGATCTGCAAAATCTAACCTGAAACCATGGAGAGCTGCTCCTCCATTCAGCAGCGGCAATACTGGATACAATTAATCAAGCTTCTGACTCAGCACAAGGCAACTTCTTTGAATTCATTTCATATCTAATCTTGTGAACTCACAAGCTCAATCACTGTTTTTGTGTCGTCCTGGGTGGTCCTCATGATTCCACCTTTGCTCTTTTTTTTTAATGAACAAAACTGGTAAATGTGGCTAGCAATTTTTAAAATACTGCAAGAGAATCACAACATGTGAACTAGGTGTGGATTTGCAAGATTAGATATGAAATGGATTCACGGAAGTTGCCTTGAATACTGAGTCAGAAGCTCAGTATTCTGTGGTGGATAGCACAGTCTTAGTAATTCTTCTAAGGCTAAAAAATAAAATAAAATAGGTAAAACAATTGCTAATATTCTTAAAGGAATTATTAGTTCATTTGATTTGGAAAAATACTGTTTTGCGTCTCTCACATCATGGACTCTCCATTTCAGCTTCACAGGAAACAAAGCGATTGATTGGTGCATTTTTGGTATTCTTGATGTGAAAGCCAGACAATCTGTCATTTTTTATAGAGATGATTAGAGTCAAGAGCTTTCTGGGTTCCTGAATTTGAATGCAGGAAAGTATAACAGTGCTCATTTCTACAGTCATCTACCTTTTGGTAATGAGCTGAAAAATAAGCCACCTATATAGAGCAACCTATTGTATTTGACAACACAGTTCCTTAAGTAATAGCAGTGTGGAATTCCTATCATTAAAACATTTCTGCCTCGGCTTTCGTCTCCTTGATGGGGGTAATGGGAAGGTTTCCCAATTTTTGGCTCAGCTGTATTGTAACACCTCTAAATCCTCTGTCAACAGTGACATGGTGTTGCATTCATGGGTTTTTTTAAGTCTCTTCCTAAGATCCATCTGTTATATAAATAAAAATAATGCAGCCCTATATTTTTATTGTACCCTAATCCACCTTGGCTATAGTGTAATTACCAAATGATTTCATGCTACCCTGGTGGCAGGCTACATCCAGGCCTCTGAACACTTGCTGCTGATCTCTTTTTAAATCCTCCTTCCACAGTTTCATTCATAAATTTGCCATGGCTTTTAAAGCAACATAGTTTGAAGCTTATATAGTAATATCAAATAAGTGCATTTATACTTCTACATTGCAACAACTTTTTTCAAATGATCCTTTCTTGCATACTGCTGTTGTTGGCAGTATCAGCAGCTCTGATAACTTGACTTTATTAGATATGACAAACTGGTATTGTACAAGTATGGAGACACTGGGCCTTGGAGCCCAAAAACCATATCACTACTGCCAGCATTTCACCAGGTTTTCATTAGTAACGAACCTGCAAGGTACCTGCAATGTGGTTGCCGCAAGCTGTTCAATAATGTAGAACCGTGGCATCAGCATGGGACACTGTAGTTTTGTACAAACTGTTTGTATACTGATATAGAACCAGCTTCAAACACAGCTTGGGGGCAGCTATTTGAAGGATCATGTCACCCAACAGGAGCCTTCTTTGCTTTTAAAATCTTCTGGGGAGAACCTTCTCTCTGTTCCATCACCTTCCCAAGCTTTCTTGGTGAGGACATGAGAGAGATCCTTCTCAGTGGCTGCTCCTAGGCCTTGGAATGCACGTGCCCTGAGAAGTCCCCACCCTCTTGTCCTTTCATCATCAGGCAAAGACCTTCCTCTTCAGGCTGGTCTTTAAGCAGTAAGCTATCTGATGGATGCTGGCTTTTAACTTAGGTAAAGGTTCCCCTTGACAGTTTGTCCAGTAGTGTCCGACTCTACGTTCCCCTTGACAGTTTGTCCAGTAGTGTCTGACTCTACAGGGTGATGCTCATCTCTGTTTCCAACCCATAGAGCTAGCATTTGTCTGAAGACAATCTTCTGTGGTCATGTGGCCAGCACGACTAGACATGGAACACCGTTACCTTCCCACCATGGTGGCAC